AGTACACTCCGCTGGCTGCGGCAGTTATCAACGGCCATAAAGGTGTGTAGTGGGTGTTTGAATGACAGACCGGATGATTATTGATAATGTTCTTTTTTTGCAGACTGCGCGCAGATTCTTATCAGATCGGACTTTGAAATTCGAAACTGTGAATTTTCCACTGCACTTCGAGAATCAGACTTTCCCACTCTTGAGAAGAACAGAGTGAACTTGTTTTCCTCTATGATGAAGTATGGCTGGAAAGGTAAACGATTTTCTTAAAAGTATTTTTGTCCATTTTTTTAATCACCGTTTACTCGTTTGTTTCGGCAGACCTGATGTTTGAAATTCTCGACAAAGCGAAAAGCAACAAAAGACTTTTGGAGTTTCTGCACTGCCTGCTCAAGAACAACTGCATTGAATTTGCCATTCCGGCTATCAAAATCGCCAAAGATACGCTTCTGCTGGAGCGACACACCTACAAAAGTCTGCTCAGTGATTTCAGCAAAAATACGACGCGTGACGTCAGTCTAGAGCTGCAGCTGGAGTTTTTGCAGCAGTTTCCTGAGGAAATCGTCAACGACTCGTTTGTGGAACTGTTCATCAATGCACTGGAAAACTGGAACTACGCTCTCGCCAATGACATCATACGCAAGCGCACCATGAGCCACATTCTCTACACAATGGGCAAGGACAGGAGGCCGGAAAACCTTATTTCAGTGGTTTTCATGAAGGTGCTTATTGAGGAGCCACTGTTTGAGGAGATGAAAACGCTCATTCTCCTGTTTCTCGGCCTGGGCTATCAGCTCAACTCCTTGTGGAGATTTCCCATTGCGGAGGACATTCTCTTTGAGGACGGCATCCGCTACCGGTACTTTAAGAACTTCGCCAACCACCAGGTCATTCCCTACTCGGCGCTGATTGTGGGCGTCATGAGGGGCGACCACGAGGCGGTCCGGTGGCTGCTGAACCTGAAGAAGAAGGACGGCCAGTACGAGGTGGACGTCGACTACGACGACTCCTACCACCGGACGCCCATGATGCACGCCATCATGGGCAATGACCTGAAGATGATCAAGCTGCTGCTCAATCGAAACTACAATCACCAGGAGGACACCGACTGCTGGACGACCACCAACAGCAGTCTGGCGGCCAAGTTTGAGAACGTCAACGGCGTGGACCTGCTAAGGCGTGACACTCACAAGTCGACCCTGTTTAGATATCTTATACTGCCATTCGAGTACTTTAACTACGCAAAAGCGCCCTTAATTTTTAAGTTTTTGTGGGATATGCTTGAAGAGCGACACAAGAACTCTGAATTGGTGAATGATCTGTACAAAATTGCCCATGCGAAACATGTTCGAAACATTTGCTGGTTGCTGGAGGAAATTGAGCCGATCAGATTGACGGCTAAGGAGCCGGAGCGTGACTTGGGCCCACCTCCAGTGAAGCCGGTTCCCGACTTGCTGAAGGATCACGAGAATCAAATGGCTGAGTACATGAAATCGCCTAGAGTTATAAGAAGTGAAAAACGGTAAGTTTGTTGATATCAAACAGCAACTTTTAGTAAATCTAGTTCTTTTGGTTTGGGTTTTTTATAGGAACATTTTAGTATGTGACACGACGGGCATTGCCTACGACACGACGCTCACCAAGCTCGACAGTCAGCAAGATCAGTACATCTTTAACTTTTACAAGCTTCAAATTTTTACCGTACACACCAAGTTCGCCCTCATCACTCACTGGGGTCGCATCGGCACGAAGGGCAACGTCAGCAAGGTGTTCTACGATCAGATTCAGGAGGCGGTTGATGAGTTTAAGCGATTGTTCCAGCTGAAATCAGGTCAGGCGTGGAATGAGGTCTACGAGGAGGAGGGAATCAATGGCAAGCATATGCTTCAGAAGAACCGAAACTTGGAATTTACCAAAACTTGCAAGTACATGAGCTACGACACTGATGTGAAAAGTCCGGAGTTTGCCGCACAGAGTGAACTGTCCGATCCGCTGAAGGACCTCATCATTCGGTGGATCGAGGCCCAGGCGCAAAGCTGCACCTACACTAAATCGCCAGCCTACTGTACTTTGAATTCCAAAGTGCTTGAAAATTGTCAAGGTAATTTCTATTTTTTTAGCAACACTTTTCTTATTTTTACTTACCAAAACTGTTTTTGTCCCTAACAGAGATTCTTCAAAAGATTTACCACCTACTCTTGAAAATTCAACTCTCAAAGAGTGCCCAGCAGAAGAAGTGTTCGCTGAAGCTCATGTACGAGATTATCAACCTGAGCGAGGAGTTCTACAGCGAGATGGTCATTTACGGCAATGACTTTGACCAGCAGCCGCCCATCACGACGATGGCCGATCTGCTGGAGAAGGCGCAGCACGTCCACCGACTGAAGGGACTGTTCTACGCGCGAGAGCTCGTTCACCTGGCCAGTCGGGTGGAGGAGCGCAACCCGGTGGACTACATGTACGAGGCCTTCCGCTTTGAGATGTACCGCCTGCGCATGGTCTCCACTACGCACGAGTCGCGAGACTACATGCTGCTGGAGCTGTACTTGAAGAACGCCTTCCGCTACCGATTTTTCCTCAGTGCGTGCTTTCGAGTGCTGCCCAAGTTTCCCTTTGAGACGAACAAGCACTCTCACCTGCTGTGGTACACACTCGACGAGGCGTTCATCTTTCAGTCGCTGGTGAAGGGCCTTCAGCTGGAGCCGATTAGCTATCCGAATTCACATGTGATTTTACAGGTAGGTGATTGAAGTGAGTTAAGTTTGTAAACACTGAGTACATTTTCTCCTTTTTTGAACTAAACAGGGAATCAAGCTGACGAACGAGCTGAAGTACACGGAGAATCACTGTGACAAAGTGCACTACTACCTTTTGTGCGAAGCCAAGCTGGAGCGTGTGTTGCACGTCAAAGAAGGCAGTTCCATTGACGACTGCTCTCTGGAGCAGTACGACTCGATCATCTCATATCCGCGCAATGCTTCCAATGATCACCTGCAGCATTACCTGTCCTGGAAAGGTAAGGATTACCTGATACTGACTGAATTATATTGTGACAATATAATTTACAATAACTTTTCTACTTTCTAGGCTATACTGTGCCCTATAGAAAAGACCACCACCCAGGTCCGACGGAGTTCATCGTGCTGAACCCGAATATGGTCACACCTCGTTATCTGATAGAACTTCGATCAGTACCGCCTTTCTAAGCAGAATATATCATTTACCGATCTATTTTATTTTCTACTTCAAATGCTTTTGCCTCAAGATTGTACAAACATGATTGCATGTTCATCGTGCAGAAATATGCATTTTTATTTTGTGATAAAAATTTCTTATTTATTGCTTATCTTTACATTTTCATTTACAAGTAAGAGGTCACATTACGTATTGGGTGGAAGCTTCGATTTGTGGTGTATAATAAAAATACAACTCCATAGTCTGTCAGATGGCTGTTTATTGTTGTGAATTACATGCTCGGGTCAGAATATGAGGAAGTGTTCCAGTGTAAGAAGCAGAATGAAAAATTTGGTTAAGTGGTAACAATGTGTGTGAGGAGGGGTTATTGAAAGATGTGAAAAAGTTAAATCGAAATATCGAAAAAAGAGTTAGCGAAAAGCTTAGTGAAAGTTGAAGGCGACAGTTGGTATCACAGCATCGTGTTCTGGTAGTCCTAAGAGCAGTTCTGAGCAGCGACGAAGTAGCTTGGACGTTCTTGAGCAAGCAGCACCTTCTTGCACAGATAGTTGTAGTGGTCTCCTCCACAGTGGCGACACTCCACCTCGAGGTAACAGCTGCGAGCCATGTGGCCTCGTTTCAGACAGCGAAAGCACAGTTTCTTCCTCTTGAGCTCTGAAATGCGCTCAGAGTACTTCAGCGAACAGTGGTAGTTGGGATGCTCCGGTCGGTCGCAGAAGACGCAGACACTATCCGTAGCGGTCGTTTGGTTGTAGCGAAAGTAGTTGCGAATTTTGACATTCTCCTTGCGATCATTCTCCACGATGACCCGTTTGAGGAGGGCGTCAGCCAGTATGTCTAGGAAAGTCTTCATCCGCTCCGTATACTCAATCATCTCGGCGTCCATGTCAAAGCTCACCTCCACTTGAATCGGGTACGGAAGGAGGCATTTGAAGAGAATCAGCAGATCCTCGTTGATGTAGCCAGGCGTGAAACCCAGGTTCTCCGCCTGGTCGGCCAGCATGTCAAAGCATTCAAAGAGGAAGAGAAGCCGCTTTGTCTTCCACTCCTCGCGAACCGGCACCAGCTGGTCGATGCAGTGGTGAAAGTGTTCCTCAGTTTGGGGAATCTCCACCGTTCGTCGAGGAAAAGTTGGAACGGCCATTTTTTACTTTTGGCCGAGTTTCTATTTTGATAAAAAAAACAGTTTAGAAAAGCTATTTAGAACACTTACTTGAAATACCTGCTTAGATTGAGCAATTGCAATTTGGCCAAACTTTTTTTTGCTGTGGTCTTTTCTTTCTGGGAATGGGAAGTCAATTTTTGAAGATTGAGGTGAAGGATTTCGAAGGAGTTGGAAGGAGACACTTTTGCTTTTAGAATGCTGTGAGTTCTCAATCGCAAGTCGCGCAGTTACGAGCTCTGTAGATGTGTGGTGAAAGCATCATCAGCAAATCGAACCGGGCAACTGTTGAACTGACCATGAGTAGGCAATTAATCAAAGATTGGCATGTGCATTTTTAGGGCAGACAGAAGGCTAGCAACTTTCTTGATAAGGTGATAAAGAGTTTTAAACTTGAGAAAAGAACGCTTTTCTCTTCACAAAACTTCTCCTATCTCACTAAATCATCGCCCTCATCAAAAAGTTATTTGTCAATGTAATTGGTTTATTAAAATGGGCGCATCGCAATTGTATAATAAGAAAATAGATTTAAAGTCATCATCAATTCCATTTAAAAACATAACTAGTATCGACAGTGGTTGGGGAAAACGAATGAATGAATGAATGATGTGTTTGGTGTGTTGGTCTAAACACCCACCTATCATCACCTCTTTCACCAGTTTTCCCAGTCTTTGGTGTTGCCCGAAGAGTTGTACTGTTTGGTGGAGTTGCCTCCTCGCCCGTTGGAAAGTGATGCCGAGGTATTCGATCGAGGCATGTCTTCATTTTGGTAGCTACTGTTGCCAAAGTTGGCGTAGCTCTGCGAAGAGGGCATCGAGGACTCGTTTGGATCGTTGTACGAGGAGACCTTCTTGTTGAAAAACGTCGAAATGTCCTGCCAGCCTTTCCGACTAAAGTCGGCCACCTTTGAGCCGATGCCGGTCACCTGAGTTTGAATTTCATTCATGGTGTTTCCATCCTTGAGCTATTGTGGATTAAAGTAAAGGGGTACCAACGGGTTAAAACGGATTTGGTCTAAACCAAGAGTTGCTACTACTTCTACATACTTTCTCATTAACATTACTACTAATTTCGCTCACTTTTTGGCCAGCCACTGATCCAGCTTGAGAGAGAATACGAGTAGCATTGGAAGTAATGTTGGTGAAGGTGGATGAAAACGAAGACCAGGGGTTGTTCTCCGTTGGGGGCTCTCTAGCGTTGTAGCCGAACCCGGAGTAGTTGTTGGCGTTTCCACTAGAAACATAAATAAATGATTGATAAATTGTTTGCAACTCCCAAAATATTGTTGATCTACCTTTGATAGCTGTTGGATTCCCATTCGTTGCTGTCAAAATCAACTTTGCTCGAGTTGTTCCCACTTGATGAGGTATTTGAGCTTAATGAGCTGGCGATGATCTTCTTCGGAACGTACTTGGAAGCCGATGAAGTTTGCTCGGACCACACTTCGCCTCGAGCTTCGGAAGATAGCTGTAAGCAGAATGTACATTATGTTCAACTGAAATAAGCGCGCGGATCATTTGGCTTACTTTGTCGCGGTATAATGCAGCTGCGCGAGTGTTGTACTTGTCAGAGAGTGAGTAGTTGGGATTCCAGTCGCTTTGAGATTCTAGAAATTCTCTTGCTTTACGATTTCCGCCGAGCTTCATCTTCTGCAGCTCGACGTCCTTCCACTTGTCCATCGTAACCGACCGAACGAAGCTGTGAGTGTGAATGCAGGTGTTTATTATTTGTTGATAATCAAAACACTTCAACGTACCTCAGATGAACGCCAAGACCTCTGTGCTTGCCCGAGCAGTCGAGACAAATCCAAATGCCGTAGGAGACTGAGGCCCATTGCGGGTTGAGAGCATTGCACTCAAAGCAGTACTAGTTTTAGGTAAAGGTAAACAAAGCGATTGGTGAGTACAAGCTGACTGCACTGACTGGCTGGCTCTCTTCATCATCCTCATCCTCATCCACAACACTCACATTGTTTTCGTCTTTGGGTTTGAGGTCGCTGAGCACACGCCGAGTACGTGGACTGGCCATGATGTTGGGCCGGTGTGTTCAGGTGTCTCTTCTTCAGCTGCTGACAACGGAGAACGGGCTGCAGTGCTGGTGGTGGTGGTGGTGCACTCTTCGAGCGAACAAGCAAGAAAACCGCCACGTGTATGGTTCTGTCAGTTGCGGTGAGTACAGTTCAGCAGCGGTGACGGCAAGTGACGGAATGAATATGCATTTCACTGGCAGGTTCCTTCACTGACTTGGGAAATGCTCCAGCGCTGTACACTGCCTGTGTGTGCTCAATCAAGACGAGAGTTGAATTGGGTTGAGTTGCGGTGAGGTGGAGGAGTGAAGAGGAGGCTAGGAAGTGAACGGTGAGATAACTGGACTTGATGGACGGCTACGACGACGACGACAAAAACAGATGCGCCAAGAGGAGAGAGCGACTGCTTGCTTGAGTCGGGGAAAGAGCAGAGAGCTGGCGCTCACGGCGCATCGGCGGCCAACTGCTGCACTGAACACACAAGAGAGCTGCCAGAACAGAGCAGAGCTCGGAGGGAGAGAGAGGGAATGTGTTGCTCGAGACTCGAGCAAGTACACTACCACTGTGGTGAGAGGTACTCGCTCAAGTACTACCTCTCGGAGACTACCGCTGAACAGTACAGGTAGCAGGACGAAAGAAGAAGAAGGGTCCTCGACGGTCATTGAATGAGTCAACAGATCACCAGCACCGCCAGTAAAATGAGTGAAGAGCAAAACAAATTGGCCAGCAACGATCCTGAAGGACGGCGTCCACTGGTGTACCTGACCCGCATTGAGCAGTTCTCGGCGGCGCACCGACTGCACAACTGCGGCTGGAATGAGGAGAAGAACCGGGCCGTCTTCGGCAAGTGCGACCACCTGCACGGCCACAACTACAAACTGGAGGTGACGGTGAAGGGACCGGTGGACGGCGATCAAACCGGCATGGTCATGAACATTGCACTGCTGAAGGAGCTGATCGGGCGGTCGGTGCTCTCGCTGCTCGACCACCGAAACATCGACGCCGATGTGCCCTACTTCGCCGAGCACATCAGCACCAGCGAGTGCCTGGCCGTCTTTATCTGGCGGCAGCTGGCCGCGGAGATGCCGCCCACTGTTCGGCTGCACCGCGTGAAGCTCCACGAGACGGAGAAGAATGTGGTCGAGTATTGTGGGGAGTTTGTTTAGTGAGGAGGAGAAGAAATCAGCAGTAGAGATTAGGATGGTGATGATTTCTTGGGAAAACTTAGTCTGTGATAGGGTGGTGGCAGTAGTACTGATGATACTTTGTGCATTCCAACAGTAAAATGTGTGCCAAGTCTTACTCTCTATCGTTTGTGAATTCTCCCAGTGAGCATGCTTGTGTGTGTGTTGCCATGGACAACAACAAGAGAGTACCTGAAAATACCTGAAACAACAGCAGCGGAACAACTTGATAGCTGATTTATGAAAACATCTGCCCCAGAAAAAGAGATGAGCTCGACAAATGAGCCCGAACGCGTTCAAGTGCGTTGCATCCTTCTGGGCGGTTCTGCTGTTGGCAAGAGCACCTTCCTGAAGAAGTTGACCAACGCGACCTCAGCAAACAATACCACAGACGCCGACTACTCAATGACCAGTCGTATTGAGGTGCACAGCAAGTCCTATGTTCCCGGCAATGGCAGCCGCCTTCAGGTAGAGGTGTGCTTTCTCGACACACCTGGACGGGCGCCTTATCAGGTCCTGGTAGAGGGCGTCTGCAAGCGGGCCACCACCGCCGGAAAGTGCCTTATCGTCGCCCTCTTCGATGTGACCAATCGAGCCTCGATGGCGCCGCTTGAAGGGCTGCTCACTTGGCTAAACAAACAGCAGCAGTCGAACAGTGGAAAGACTTCGGCGGCGGCGGCCACCGCTGCCACGGAAGGCGTCCTCGTGGCCAACAAGATTGACCTTGTCGATAAGCGCATCGTGTCGCCCTCGGAGGGACAACAGAAGGCGAAGATGTTCAAGCTGCGGTACTTTGAGTGCTCCGCTCTGAACGACATCGCTATGGCGGACTTTGATCAGCTGATTCTCGACATGGTCCAGACGATGCTTGCCCCGCCGGCGGATATTGCCGAAAGAAGCGGAGGAGGTGGTCAGAATGGCGGAGTTCCGGCACCAATGTCTCAGCTGAAATCCATCGACTAGCTAATTGGAAAGCTTTTGATGACCGTGGATTAGCACCGTGCCGCGATTGAGCCATCACTGAGGATGAGGATGCTGTGTTAGTTACTCAGTGCCACTGTATTTCCAAGGTGACAAGAGACAGCATTAACATTATCATTAACATTACAGCAGCAACAGCAGCAATAAAAGCGCTTAATGGAGTTGATGGCATTAGCTCATCACTGACAAGTGATCCAAAGCCATTGTCAGTGATGCGGCGCTGGAGGTAGACAGCGTTGTTGCCCATTCAGCGTCTGCACAGCTGTCTGTACGGCACACAAAGCAGAGAGAACAGGCGAGCAGCAAAGGAGCTGCCAGCTGACTGACTGGCCAGCCTGCTAGCTCGTATTGCCAGCAACACGTCATTACTGCTGCCGCGATTGGTTGCTCTTTCGGCGATTGGCTTCGCTTCCAGTGTGCACAGTGCGCTGTACAACCGCTGCCGTTCACCACCACCACCACCACCGACCATTATCATCGGCGGTGCCGCTTTTTATATCGGCAGTATCGGCAGTGACGTTCAAAACACTAACAGCACACCGAACTCTCTTCTTTCGGTGCATTCATCTACTAGGTAGCACTACTGCCGCCGCCGCCGCTGACACTGCTGCTGATTAGATTGCCTGACCACCAAAGCCGCGGGCAGCGAAGACGACGACGACGATGATGGTGGGCGACAAAGCAGCTGCCTATCAGATAAACAGCAGTCCCGAAGAGGCACTCAAGCTGAACATCGACGACATTGACCCGCGAAACCCGGACCATGATCCCGAACACGAGCCGAGCGCCGTCAAGGAGAAGGCGTCCACCAGTTCAAATAAACAACTGCTGAAGTACGTCTCCCTGGTCACGCTGACCTTCCAGAATGCCTCCCTGACGCTGTTCATGCGAGCCGCCCGCACGCAGAAGGACCTTTTTATCTCCTCGACGGCGGTGATCATGTCGGAGACGCTGAAGCTGCTCACCTGTCTGCTGATGGTCTACCGCGAGGAAGGCAAGTGCTTTTGTTGTTGTTGTTGTTGTCACTCACAGCTGAAATACGAACTACGTGCACACTCATAAACATCTCTCTTCTTTGCAGGCTACAACGTCAATCGGGCGTGGAAGGTCGTTCAGAAGACAGTGGTCAACGACCCGATGGACACGCTGAAGGTGGCAGTGCCGGCGATCGTCTACTACGTGCAGAACAACCTCATCTACCTGGCGGCCACCCACCTCGACGCGGCCACCACCCAGGTCACCTACCAGCTAAAAATCCTCACCACCGCCCTCTTCTCCGTCTTCCTCCTCAAGAAGAAGCTCATCTTCACGCAGTGGCTGGCGCTGGTGCTGCTTTTCGTCGGCGTCGCCGCCGTACAGCTGACGCAGACGAAGAAGAAGACCACGGCAAGTGCTGATGAGCACCCGCAGAACGTGCTGGTCGGCTTTCTCGCCATCCTCTCCGCCTGTGTCCTCTCCGGTTTCGCCGGCGTCTACTTCGAGAAGATCCTGAAGAACTCGGCGCACGTCTCATTGTGGATTCGGAACATCCAACTGGCGGCCATCGCCGTGCCCGTCGGCCTGGTCACCCTGGTGGCCAGCGACCATGAAACGATCACCGAGAAGGGCTTCTTCTTCGGCTACACACTGCTCACCTGGACTGTGATCATCCTGCAGGCACAGGGCGGCTTGCTGGTNTGGCTTTCTCGCCATCCTCTCCGCCTGTGTTCTCTCCGGTTTCGCCGGCGTCTACTTCGAGAAGATCCTCAAGAACTCGGCGCACGTCTCATTGTGGATTCGGAACATCCAACTGGCGGCCATCGCCGTGCCCGTCGGCCTGGTCACCCTGGTGGCCAGCGATCACGAGACGATCACCGAGAAGGGCTTCTTCTTCGGCTACACACTGCTCACCTGGACTGTGATCATCCTGCAGGCACAGGGCGGCTTGCTGGTCGCTGTGGTGGTCAAGTATGCAGACAACATCCTCAAGGGCTTCGCCACCTCCATCAGCATTATCATCAGCTGCATCGTCTCCATCTACGTCTTTGACTTTGTCATTACCTTTCAGTTCTTCATCGGTGCCTCGCTCGTCATTGCCTCTGTCTTTCTCTACAACAGACAGGCAGCCGCTTCTCACAAAAAGTGATCATTTCAGGGCTTTAAAAAAACGCTTACTACCTTTTGAAGCCTTGAAGCTCCCGCAGGCTCATTAATGCACGAGGCTGCTTTTCTCCCTTCATCCTTTCTTTCCCTTCTTTGCCATACACCATCAACGCTGTTGTTCGAACTGATCATTCGTCCATCAGCTACCACCACACCACACAAGACACAGCACACACCAACTGTCCTCATCATTTATTTATTTACAGTCAAATAAACAATATAATATATAAATGCAACACAGAAACAAGCCGACTTGGGTGTGTGTGTGTGGGTGTGTTCAAGTGAAAGACAACAGAGAGAGAGAGAGAGAGAGAGAGAGTCTCAAATTGCTTTGGGACACTTGAAATGAATTGAGATTCTATCAAATTTTTTTCCTTTAAAATGCAAAATGCTCTCGCTACGGTTCGAGGGGGAAAGGGGGTGGATACCTTCCGCTCTCTGGAGTGACTGCGTCCGTTGTCGATGCAATATAAAAAGATCAGTGGTGTAGTAGTATCAAGGTGAAGGGGTAAATCAAAATAGGTTAGGACTAAAAGAGTTTGGGCGAGTCAACGAGGAACGGTCGTTTTGGTGTTGGTGGTGTTGGTTGGTTGGTGTTATATACACGTGAGTATATCATCGACGCCTACGCCTACATGTTACAGCACTTGGAAACGGTTGACTTTGATTCGGGTTTTGAGATGTTTACTTTGTCTTGCTTATCTTGTTGCATCTGACCAGCAGTTTGCTGTGAGTGAAAAGGGGAGAGAGAATATGTTAGAATGATCGACCAAATGACATGGGCACAGCGTACCTTGTTTAGAATCGCCTCGGCGAGATCAAGGAACGCCCGATCAATGTTGATGTTCGCCTTGGCGCTGGTTTCCAGAAACCGAATACCGTGTTCGCGAGCAATGGTCTCGCCTCGATCTTTGCTGACCACTCGCTTGTCTTGCATATCACACTTGTTACCGAGAATCATCTTCTCGACGTCTTCGCTGGCATGCTAAAGAGGTAACACCGGCAAACAAACAAACAAACAAACAAACAACAACAGAAGGATGAGTCGTACACACGTTTACACAGTTATCGATTGGCGCAAAGTCATTTACCTCGTCAATGTTGCGTAACCACTTGGCGATGTTGTCAAAACTTTTAGAATTTGTAATGTCATACACCAGCATGATGCCCATGGCTCCCCGGTAGTACGAAGTGGTGATTGTATGAAATCTCTCCTGGCCAGCCGTATCCCTAAGGTAGTAATGTGAAGCATTAGTTAAAGAAATTAAAGGTCACAGTCAGCACACGTACCATATTTGAAGCTTGATGCGCTTGCCTTTAAGGTCAATTGTCTTAATTTTAAAATCAATACCTAAAGTGGGGGAGATGGCCAAGAGGAAACTGAGTTGTTAAGCATCGTCACAAAACTGCGCACAGCACAGACCTATTGTAGAGATGAATGTCGTCTGAAATGCGTCATCGGAGAAACGAAAGAGGATGCAGGTCTTGCCGACACCCGAGTCGCCGATGAGCAGGAGCTTGAAGAGCAGATCATAGTTTTTCTTGGACATCTTTCAGCTTCAGCCGGTGGTCGCTTCAGTAGCTTCTCTTTCACAATCTCACACACAAACTGCACTGGAGAAGGAAAACGGAGACGCCTGAGACGTCGAAGAGGGAGAAAGTGAGTGAGGAAAAGAGAAAAGATTTGCCAAGAGGAGATGCAATTAGTCGCACAATGACTAGTGCTCGACGTACAGCGCTTAAGTGCGGCCGCCGCCAAAAGCGAACGCTTGGTCGGCGCGGGTGGTGCTGCTGCAGCGGTTGCTGCTGTTGCTGCTGGTGCTGGTGCAGGCGATCAAAGTTTGCGTTCCGATCAGAGCTAGCTGATAAGCAGTTTCTTCTTCTGCTTCTTCGGAGAAGGGGTGGGGGCGCGAAGAGGCTAACGGTGGTGTCGGTTTCGGTGTCAACTGTGACTGACGGTGTGTATTGAATTTCGGTTGTTTGATCGCACAGTGCATCGAGCAGTGCAGTCAGCAGCTGCAGCTGCAGCAGCCAGTACCAAACCAAGCCAACGGACGGACAGACAGACGGACACAACCGCTGGCGGCCGAGTTTGCACAGTGTCGGTGACACTAATGCCGTCGTCACCTTGTTGATGTTGCCGACTGGTCATCATTTTATTAAAAGGAGCTAAGTACCTGCCAACAACAAGCGATGGAAGGAAAGTCAGACGAGGTAAAGAGTTATGACCAAGGTATTTACTGTTTTGTTTTGAAGCTCAAGTTTTGTCAAAATCACTAACCGGCTACTTTTTGTTTCTGTCATTGATTAATTGCTCTGCAGACATTGATGCTAGTCTCTACTACAAGACGCTCTGCTCCTCCGGACTGGGCTTTATCAACAAACAACATGGACAAATTGAGCAGAAGCGAACTCACCTGGTGGAGAGCAAGCAGAAGCTCGTCTACAACAACTACGATTCCATCATCAAGTTTTCTAGCTTTTCCAAGGATTTGATACATGACGTAAGCTTAGCAAACTGTGCAAGTTGAGATTGGTTTTGCTTACAACTTTTTTTCCCGTTTAGTTTCAAAAGATTGAGACCTCGCTGGAGAGCCTGAAAAAGACGATTCCTACCTTCAAGACTAAATGTGAGGAGTTTTCTCAAGATGCTCGAAAGATATCAGTCCGGTGGAAGGACGTCTCCTCGATGCTGGCCAAGTATCCGCAGATGATCGAGTTCCTTGAGATTCCCCAGCTGCTGAACAACTGCATCAGAACGTTCTACTACGACGATGCGTTGAAGATTTGCAATTTCATCACCCGATTCTGCACTCGGTATCGCAGCATGGCACCCATTTTTGAAAACATGCTTGCGGAGATTGACAAGAGCAAGGACATTATGATTGCGCAGATACTGAAGGAGATGAACACCAATGTCCAGCTGCCGGTGTGCATGAAGCTGATTGACTACTTGCGCCAGACGGATCGTTTTACCGAAGAACAGTTGCGGGTAAACTTTCTCCTTGCTCGAGATGTCTGGTTTCAGGCAGCGATCAACAAGAATACTGCCGTCGTGAACTGTAAGCTGCGATTGAGAACATTTATTTTACTTTCAACTAAAACCTCCTTTTCCTTTTTTAGCTTTCACGTACATTTCAAGTATTACCGAGGTGTTTCGCATCAACATCTTCGACATTGTGACCCAGTACCGGGCCATCTTTCCCGACATTGACAGCATTGAGGGGCAGAAGAAGGGCCTGGCGATGGCGGGCAGGGCCGGCAATGAATACCACAACCACAAGATAATCAACAGTTGGCTGCTCTTTAAAATTGAGCACTACCTGAGGATGCTACGCACCAGCCTGGACGCCTCTCTTCAGCAGGCGTCCATTCTGCCGCTGGACACCGTCATCGACCACTGCTTCTACTTTGGCCTGTCGATGAGCAAGATTGGCGCCGACATTAGGCCGCAGTTGATACTGATCTTCAATCAGTTCATTGCCAGTCGATTTCAGCTGCGAGTGGAGGAGGCGAATCGAAAGTTTGAAAAATCTATCGGTGACATTTTTAAAACGGTAAAGAGGCAATCGAGTGCTCAACAGCAACAAGAAGGGGGAACCTTTGAGGCGACACTGGAGCAGTTTCCACTTGTCCTCGCCTACCACAACGACATTTGCGCTACCTTTAGTGAGATCAGGAATAATGTGCCTCTGTGCCTTTTTGCCTCCTTCACCGCCGTCTTGAATGCTTCATTTCAGCAAATAGTCAAGAACACTACCGACTACATCAGGTAATCATGCATTAGCTTTACCAGAAGTACTAGAATTTACTAAAATCTCCTTGTTTTTCAGAAACCACGAGTACAGCCTGAACACAGATGAGTTTCAGTATTACCTTCGCCTCTGCAGCGCCGTGCAGAACGCCCTCTTTCCGACGCTCAGTCGGCACTTTCAGCAGCTGTGTCCCATCTCGGCGATCAGCCAGCGGCTGGCCGTCACCACCTCGGAGCTGCTGCTGATGGCCAGCAGCAACAGCAGCAACAAGGTGGAGGGCACTGCGCCACGGTGCGGCTTTGAACTGGACATCAAGACTCCCATTGACGAGCTAGGTGCCGTCATCAAGGAGATTTCCAAGAGTAAAAGTCTTCAATAAAGTGCAATAAGGTGGTCGCAAGTGTGTGTGTTCGTTTGTTTGGTTTGTGTTGGTTGGTCGGTTGGTGACGTCAGCTCGGTGGGCGTGCTGGCTGGCGAGTTAGCCTGCTGTCACTTGTTAGCCTGCAGAAAGAGGAGAGCGAGAACTGGTAGCGGCAGTGCGCGGCGACGACTGCACTGGCACTGGGCGAGTGCAGTGCAGCCACCACCACCAAAACAGCCACAACAGCAGACAGATTGGACAGGCCAGACTGACAACACACACACACACACACACACACAGCCACTGATTGCCCAGCTGATTGCTTATTACCCTCGCTGGGCCGTTACCGCCACCAGGTAAACATACAACACCACCTACATTTCAGCCACCATGTACACCAACTACTCGCTGGTAGACGTGCACCGGCTGTGCGTGCAAAAGTCAGGCAGCGTCCTCGACCAGCTGCCCGACATCAACGGCCCCCAGCTGGTCACCTCGCTGATCAGGCCGCTGGTGACGCTGGTCAGTCAGCAGCAGTCCTCCTCCGCCGGCGCCTCCATCAGCTCCGGTCCCCTGAAGGAGTGCCTGCAGGAGGACAAGGACGTCCTCTGGATCATGGAGGTAATTGGCTACGGGCTGAGCTTGCACTTCTACGAGAAGGACCAGATTGATGCCATTCGCGACTGTGTCAACCTCTACTACGAGTGGTTCCACGCGCTGTCGCCCTCGCAGGCGACCAACAAGTTCATTCCACTGCCCATCCAACGGGATCCCAACCTCTACTGCCAGAAGATCATCGGCCACCTCTACAACATCTTCCGGCCGCGGCGGTACACCGCGGCGGACAACCTGAGCGACCTCAGCTCGAAGCAGGCCATCTTCTGCCACCGCATCCTCCGCCTCATCATCAACATCGCCTCCGACCGGGACAACCGCATGAACGCCGCCACCTGGGAGTGTCTGCTGGTTTTTCTGCTCGGCATCAACGAGGAGCTGCTCCGGTCGCAGAACCAGAGCGAAGACATTGGCACGCAGATTGCCGAGCGAGTCATCAGCACGCTCTTTGAGGTAAACAACAAAAGCATCTTATCACTCTCAAGTGTTGACACTTTTATAATCGTATCATTCTTTGTTTTGTTTTGGTGTGTAGGGCTGGCTACTCGCCTGTGCTTCATGCTTTCCCTCGCCATCCTACTGGAAGACCTTTCAGAGCATCTGCGCCAACCTTCGCCACCGACCGGCGCTGATCATCCAGTGGAATCGGGTCAATGTCTGCCTGACCAACGCCCTCGTTGGCCTGCTGTACAGCGGTCACACCGAACTGCACAGCCACTCTTCGTTGAGCCTGGGCAATCGACAGCATTTTGCACAGTACAACGCCATTGTCCTCCGACTGAACGGTGACGCGCTGAAGCAGTGCTGGTACCGCTTCCTCCACATCATCGGCAATCCAATTGAACTGTGCTTCCCGGAGATTGTCTTCAAGGTGGACCTGCAGAGCCAGCCACTGGACCAGGCGACGCTGAACCTGCTCCCCTTCATCTTCCACAAAGCCATCAAAGGCCTCTGCTTCCTCGTGGACATCTTTCTCGGCATTCCCACCATTAACCTCGACGAGCTCGACTATGAAATTCCCAAGTTCCAGTACGGTGGCAACACGTTACAGACACAGCAGCAGCAGCAGTTGCAGCAACAACAACATTCCAGCACTGGCACGGTTACGCCGCCCGACAAGAGACGCTCCAACTTTGCCCTGTACAATAAACAACAGGAGAAGCAAAGTCAATCTTCTAAAACTTCTGGTAACCAGCCAAACTCCCACAGTAGTCCACGTCTTTCAGGACAGCAGCAGCAACAGCACCAACAGCACCTTCAACAACAACAACAGCAGCAGCAGCATCAACAGCAAATACAACAACAAAAACCCGACTACATTTTGCCCTATTTTGTGCTTCGCTCACTTCCGGGAAACATCTTTCGGCAGAATCAAGTCAAGTCCACCTCCGTTCTCGACATTTTCGGCAAATGGCTCTTCCAGGCATCGCTCATTTGCTCTTCAAACAGTGCCGTTCTCAGCGTCTTCCAGGACACCATCTCTGAGCATGATGTGGCTATTGACTCGCTGCGCAAGAGCTTTAGCAAGAGCGATAAGCTTTCTGAAGCACAGCTGACACCGCTGCCGCTGAAAAACTTTGAGGCCGGCCAGGCGGAGGCAATAGGGGCCTTGTGCAGGATATTCTGCTTCAAAAAGAGCGATGAAGACATTTCCTTCATCATTAGCAAACAGGGACATGCCCACTCACAGAAGATCAAGCACTACCTTACCAGTTACTATCTGGCCATGAAGTTTGGACTTTCATCTAGCAACGAGGTAAAGTGAAGTAAAGTCTTTTATTGATTCAGATTCTTACAATTTTTTTACTAACAGAACTTTCAAATTCAGCCGCTGAGCAGTATTCTCGTCAACTCAGTGTGGTTCTTTGAGGTCGACCTTCCCGGCTCTAAGATACTGGTGCCGCACTTTCTCAAGTCCATAGAGATCTTTCTCACTAAAAAGGACAAGTCAAAGTATGTGGTTGGTGGATTGAGTAGATTTTTTTCCCCGATTTAACTTTCCTCTTCTCTCTATTGCCCTACAGTGACGTTCTCATCCGGCGAGCTTGCATCAAAATCCTGACCTCTTTGCTGCCGTACCCGTTGCACTTTAAGGACCTGCCGATCAAGGACACGCTAAGTGAAACGCCCTCCAACACCTTCATGTCGCTCTTCCCTCGCCTCGTCCTCCTCCTCATTCACGGCCTGCACAATGAGCCCGATTCGGTGAACGTGCAGATGATTCTCGGGGCGCTACTCTTTATCATCGAGGACTCGGTCAAGTACGATGACCTTTTTCTGGGCGGCGATAGCTTCGGTGGCGAGTCTGGTGATGGCGTCGATCCGCTGATGTCCAGCCTTATGCAGTGCTTCAAAAATGATTATGAAGGAAGCGACAAACCGGACACAGTTCCCTGCAACGTCTTCCTCCTCATCATCTCCTTTGTGGCGGAGATTCTCTGCAAGTCCTCCAATTCACGCAACTCCACCGACTACAACGTCTCCCTCTCGGCGCTGGAGGTCCTCTCCGCCCTCGGCCGGACCCACTACCGCCGGCAGCTGCTGTGCGACGGCCGCTGTCTGCCCTGCATCAAGCAGATCTTCACCTTCATCGAAAATCAGTGCTACAAGCCGGCAATGTTCCACTCGAAAGACATGCACTCCACCATAGTGGCCGCCTACCAGTGCCTGTCGGTGTGGATTCACGAGCACTGTCACCTGCTGCGTGACCGCGAGTGCATAGTACTTCTCTTTGAGCTGATTGAGCTGGGCATCTCGGGGACCAAGTCGAAGACAACAGCAGCGGCCGGTGGGGCGGCGACCACCACCTTCAAGTCAGAGAAGCAGGCGAAGCCCACGTCGATGCGCGTCAAAGAGGCGGCTGAGTTTCTGCTCAGCACGCTGATGGGCCGCATCAATCTGGGCGGTAGCGGCGGTTGCAGCAGTGCCACCTTTGACCCGTCCACCTCAGCCATTCTCTCGTGTGACCTGAGCGAGCCGAAGATCATCGAGAGCATGCTCAACCTGCGTCCGTCGCAGTTTCCCAGCAATCACTTTCGCTACTTCATCGCCGACAACTCGCTGCTCATCTCCATTCTCGAGCGGCCGCTGCTGAACGAGGAGACGCTGGTCATCATTCGCTCACCCTACGGCAAGTACTGCTGGCTGCTCAAGTACCAGCACCTCTCCGGCCGGCAGCAGTTGAACTGCTCGCAAAGCGGTGGCGATTCAACCTCGTACCGTAGTCTGCCCAAACTGGTGGATCAGCAGCCGAATCAAAAGGGGAGCGCCCCTTGCAGCTACTTTCCAGAGTTCTTTGATAAGATTTGCACTTCGAAATTGTGAGACTTTGTTTTTTGCGGACTTTGTGGTTGTAACTCAATTTTTCCTTTTCCCCCCTCACAGCGACAACACCGTCCTGAAGCTCTCCGAGTACATCAGCGAGCAGGCGGAGATTAAGCAAGAGCACGACGTGATGCAGAACCTGATTGACAAGATTGAAAGCAATCTGAAGTTTGAAAAGTCCAAGCTGACGCTGAACACAAACAAGAACAAGGAGTTCAGCGAGCCGCCGCCGGCAAAATCCTTTGAAGCCTCTCGGTTGATTCTCTCGCAGTTCAAGGCTTTCAACTTTGACGTGGTAGACGACGGCCGGCAGACGTTGATGGCGCTGAATGAAAACTCGAAGGAGTTTATCGACTACCTGGAGAAGCTGGACATGATCTCTACGAAGAACAATGACATCGTTGTGGTGCTACACATTCCAAAGGGCTTCGCCGATGAGGCGGACATCTTTCAGGCCAACTTGAAGCAGTTTAGCCGAACGACAGCCAGCTCGCCCTTCAAGGAGTTTATGTGTTCACTGGGGAACGTCATTGACTGCAATACCAACACGGCAATGTAATGATGCAGTAGAATCTTAAGTGAATGTGCAAGTAACCAACCATTTCTGTTTTTTCCCAGAGCCAATCTCCTCTACTGGAACGACATATCCCACGAGCTGCTCTTTATCAACCCCACCAATGGCAACTCTAAGCAGCAACCATTGACACTAACTGACCTGGTCAGGGAGGACAATGAAAGCCTGCGAAGAGTGCTGCTGCAGGCGAACCAGAGTGACAACTGCGCCAACCACCGCACCAAGTCCTATCTGATGAACAATGTCGGCTGCGACATTAAGCTGATGGTGCTCTGGCTGGAGAGCATGGAGGACTTTGATCGTCTACCATTCCGTATGTGTGCTCTGTTGAGGGTTTTATGTTTTCCAACTAACGACTCTCTGATTGAACTTTTTTCAGATCAACTAGCATCGGAGAGCGAGTCGGCTCGAGAGCAACTGTACTTTATCGTCATTAATCCACTTCGAAATGGACTCTTTAAGGTGGTGCCGCACTCCTTTGGTGGAAAGTAAGTGGAGTTTAGTGGAGTTTGGTTCTTGTCCCTAACTCGGTGTTCAATCTTTTCCAACAGAAGCACCTCCATCTCGCCGACCATTGAGCGAATGCTGCTCAGCAAGCACCTGCTGGCCACCTACGTTCGCCTAACTGCCCTAAACCTCTTTCGACGACGTCGAATGAACACCGAGAGGTAACTGCGAGATTGACTAAACTTAAAAAACTTTACAATTTCTCTCTTTTGCAGCTTCCAATTGCCTCACGTAAAGCGCCGAATCAAAATAGCGGAAATTACCAGCCGATTCAAGATGCCCTACTCCAACAAGCAGCTCATCAGCGACCTCTTTGCCACCAACAAGTTCAGCTTGTAATGTGGAGAGCCGTTTGCAGCTTTGTCTGACATCTTCTCTCTTCACCATCTCTCGTCTGTGATACTGTCTGCCTCCTTCTCCTCCTCAATCAATCAACACTACCGTCTCTCTCTATTCCACCCTCCAACACCTCACCACCTCTGTTTCACCAAACAAATTCTGCAGTGCAATATTACACTACTACCACCCCCACTTTGACAAACAATTATATCAAGTTACTTCTTTTTACACATTTGCGCAAATATAATAATAAAATGGCATCTTATGCGTGGAGCAATACAACTCGTGGGAGTGTGTGTGTTGCTGATCAGCAGGTAGTATAAGTTAGAAGAATAGGAAAAAGAATTGTTTAAAAGCTAAAAACTGGCTGCCTTCACGCCTTTCACCTGCCTACTTTTTGGCGGCACTCTTGGCGGCGGCGTTCTTCTCCTTGACCAGCGCCACCAGCTGCTTGTAGCGCTTGATGCAGTCAGCGCGAGATCGGTTCGGTATGCAGTTGGCAATCAGGTTCCAGCGCTCGACGCCCAGCGAGGCGGGGTAGGTCTTCATCGCCTGCTCCAGTAGCTGCTGCTCCTCGTTAGTCCACGGGGTGTCGTTCACCTCGAGAATGGAAGCTGGTGCTGGAAAAAGAAGAAATGGGTTAGTTTTGAGCTAATAGTATGCAGCAATTTCTAACACATACCGTCGTATCGCTCGCTCGGGTTCTCCTTCTGCTCCGTCACCTTGTTGGCGGGAATCTGCTTTGCCTGTTTGGCAGTGTTGTTCATTTGCGTCTCCAGCTGCTTGAAAGCGTTCTTGTTCGCCTCCTCCTTTAGTGTCTGAGAGTCGCCTGTAATAAAAGAAAACAAAAGTTAGTAATGAATTAAAAAAGTCGCCAACAAAATTAAGCCTAAACTTGCCCGAGTTCTGCAGCTCCTTGGCCTTCTCCAGCACTTCTCGGTGGTTTCGCGTCACCCCACTGTCGGACTTGTCGTTGACAAAGTTGGCAATCACCGTCCAGCGATTGGCAGTGCCCGCCGGAAAGAGCTTCACGCCCTTGATCAGCAGCTGCACGTCCGCGTAGGACCAGACCTTCTTCGTGTTGGCGCTGTTGTTGCTGTTTGAAGAAGCGCCGCTTGAAGAAGCAGCATTGACCAGTTCAATGCGTTCACTGTGCAGCTTCTTGTTCATCTCACTGACGTTCGAGAGAAAGAGCGCCTTCTTCTCGGCGTCACTGCCCAACGCCTGCAGCGCCTTGCGAAAGTCAATCAGCTGCTCGAGGGAGAACATTCGACAGAGCTTGTCCAGCTCCTGCATGTACTCAATCCTCACCGATGGGTCCTCGGTGAAGTAGTTGGCCGCCTTGAACAGGCCCTCCACCTGCTTGTTTTCCTGGCGGAGCTTCTTCTTCGCCGCCTCCTTCTGTCGGCGTTCCTCGTCCTTCCGTTGCTTCTCCTCCTCCTCGGCCTTTCGCTTCGCCTCCAGCTCCTTCTCCTCCTGTTCCCTTCGCAGCCGCTCCTCCTCGTCCTTCTTCGCCTTGATGTTCGCCTGCTTTGCCTGCTTCAGCTCCTGGCGGCGCTTCTTCTCCTCCTCCTTGAAGCGGGCCACCCGTGGATCACACTGGTAGGCGTTGTCCACTAGCTGACGAATTCGAGCCATCTCCTCCTTCTTTCGCTGCTGGCGAGCGGCCTTGTTCTGCTTGTCCAGGTATCGGCGCTCCTCCCGGTTTTCGCCCTTCTCCTTCTCCTCCTCGTCCAGGTAGGAGTACTCTCGCCACGAGTCAAATTCGTACCAAAAGTTGTAAAACTCGTTCACCTCATCGAAGGTGGACTTTTCGTCGCCCAGCAGCGGAACGGGCTTCTTTGTAGACCAACTGTGGGAGAAAACAGCTCAGTTTAGTTTTTTGTTTACCAACTTACTAAAACGCAGTCTACTAAAAAGCACACACTCAAACTTACATTGAATTCTTTTCAAAAACAGAGGGAAATACTTCAAAGAAATGGTTCTTATTGTAGGTGGTGGCATTGGGCACTGTGTCGTCGAAAATGTCATCCACACTGTCGTATGAGCGTCTTTTCAGTGGATCGCTGAGAATTTCGTAAGCTTTAGTTATGCAGGAAAAGTAGTCACAGTCTAGATCAACATTTTCGCCACCATTTTGTCGCTTATCAGGGTGGTGCCTCAGGACAATTTTTCGATCTGAAAAAAGGAAAAATTGTAGTTTTGGTCTTTTCAAGTAATATTTAATGACTTGAGCAGCCAAGTAAACACTTACATGCTTTCTTGATTTCACTTTCTGATGCATCAATGCGCCGTTTGCTTAATCCTAACACTCGATAGTGATCCTGATTTTTCCATTCTTTAGGATCCAATGACTTCAGATACTTGTCGCAAGCGTCATCATCGTCACCCGCCGGAGGAGGAGGACTCTGTTTGCCATTTCGTTTAGCACCCTTCTCGACACCATTTTCCTTTCTAGTTGGGACGTCATTTTTCACCTCCTTTTTCTCTGGCTCATCTTTGGTTGAAAGCACGCCCAGCTTGCACAGAAGATTGCTCATCCATGTGTTGCGAGATTCGTACAGAATGAGCGAATTGTCTGAAGTGGGAAGCGATTTTGCGGCTTGTAAGCACACTGCTGGGGAAACTAGAATGAGATCACTACTTACCGCTTGAGGTCATGGTTGATGCTGTTGGAACTTGCTCTTGCACCTGTATTCTACTCAGTTCGATTGATAAATTAGTGTTCAACAGATAATGGCGAGAAGAGGAAAGAGATAAGCACTTGAAGCCATGCAGAAGAAGAAGAAGCAGCAGCAGCTAATGAGCCAGCCAACACAATGACAACACGTCGCGAACACCTGAGCGGCACATGGGATATCGTAAAGGGCCATCAGTAGAGCGGGTGCAAAGTGCCGGTGCGCGTGCTGCTGTGCGGGCTGTTTATACCGTTGCCCACGGCGAGGCACAATCTGAAGTGTGATCTCATCCAATCTCGCCTCTTTGCCGGCGGTGCCACTCTGTACAAAAAGCCGATGAATCACCAGTGACACCACCACCAGGACTGAAACACCAGCACAGTCTTACCACCTTCTTTTCCGACGCTTCAACACACTGAAAAGATGGGAAGCAAGGCAGCAGCAATCGGTGGTGGTGGAGGTTTGCTCAAACAGTTGACCGGCAAGAGCATTCGCTTTCACCTGATCGCGGCTCTTGTGCTGCGCCTGGTCCTGATCGTCTTCTCCGAGCTCCAGGACCGCCTCCTCGAGGTGAAGTACACCGACATTGACTATGTCATCTTCACCGACGGCGCCTGGTACACGCTCAACGGCGGCTCGCCCTTTGACCGCGACACCTACCGCTACACGCCCTTCCTCGCCTGGCTGGTGACGCCCAACATCTGGGCCTTTCCGCAGTTCGGCAAGTTCCTCTTCGCCGCCTTTGACCTTCTCTCCGGGTGGCTGCTCTACCTGATCCTCCTGCCCGCCTCCTCGGTGCCGGCCGCCAGTCGGACGCTGGCCGCCATCGCCTGGCTCTACAATCCCCTGACGGTCATCATCAGCACGCGCGGCAGCGCCGAGCCGGTCATCTGCACGCTGGTCATTGCGGCGCTCTACCTGCTCCTCAAGAAGCAGTACCTGGCTGCCGGACTCGTCTACGGCTTTGTCATTCACTTCAAGATCTACCCAGTCATCTACGCGCTCTCCTTTTACCTAGGTAAGAGTTGATTTGTGGTTTGTTTTTTGGGCTAACAACATTTCCCTCCCTTTCCCCCAACACAGTCATTTCGAACAAGAAATCATGGGCCAGTCTCCTTCCAAACCGCCACCGAATCGTCTTCTTCCTCGCCACCTTCATCGGCCTGGTCGTGCCTACCCTGGCCGCCTACTTACTCTACGGAAAGATTTACCTGGACGAAGCGTGGCTCTATCACTTTCACCGCCAGGACTTTCAGCACAACTTTAGTCCCTACTTTTACTTTTACCACCTGGTCAGCGGGGACGGCAATCGCCGCCTTCTCTCCCTCCTCGCCTTTGCCCCTCAGCTGGCTCTCATCACCTACAGCGCCTTCTACTACCTGTTCAAGAACAAGCAAAAGAAGGACCTCTTCATGTCGCTCTTCTTCCAGACGGTCGTCTTCGTCACCCTCAACAAGGTCATCACGGCGCAGTACTTTGAGTGGTACATGTGCCTCTTTCCGCTCATTCTGCCCTTCTTTCACACCCTAACTCTCCGTTCGTGGATCGCCATCTTTGCCTTCTGGTCATTGGCCATTCTCCAGTGGCTGCTGCCGGCGTACCTGCTCGAGTTCCGCAAGTGGAACTGCCTTCACTGGGTCGGCGGCGCCAGCATTGCCTTTGTGCTGATTCACCTGGCTTTATTGGCGTATTTGCACGTCCAGTTCAACCAGAAGGTAAAGAAATGATTCCACAAGCCCAGGCCATCACCAGAGCGCGCCCAGCTCTGAGGTCCAGTAGTTGTCCTTGCTCTTCACAGCATTAATCACATCTTGGTGGATCTCTTCAATAGAACGACTGTTTGCGTCAATCACCTGCAAAAACACATTTGTAAATAAACGGAAAACCCCAACATTAAATACATTACTTACATTCCAACTGTCCTCCTTCAACTTGTGGTAGATTTCTCGCACCGAGTTCTGGAAGGCGCTAGTCTCGTAGACCTCACTGCCAAAGTCGCCCCGGTTTTGGAGCATTTTCACGTCACTGGAGAGGAAGATGACGCAATCAGGCTTGAGCAGGCCCTTCTCCGGCGCTCGCGCCCACTCAAAGTCGGCGCCCGCCTTTGAGGCGGTGTAGGCGACGCCCGAGTAGGAGTACCGGTCGACGACGATCGTCTCGCCCGACTTGATGGCCGCCTTCATCTCCTCGTACTTCTCCCACCGGTTGGCGCTGAACAGCAGGTGAATGGAGTGGTCGTGCATCTTCAGCTCGCCCTTCAGGTACTGGTCAATGAGGCCGCCGATCGGTGTGCTCCGGTCGGGGAAGCAGATGAAGCGAGTC